CACTGAACACGTGAATAAGTCAGTTTTACTGCTCGAATAGAATCATAAGGGCATCTGTTTTGCAAAAAATATGAATTCGCAGATTTAAAACCAACACAATAAACTGATAACCACATAAACAACGGGAAAAGCAACTTAGACCTTGATTTAGGACTTCTCCTGATAACCCAGACGAAGAATTTACAAGAATATTGAATAGAACAACACGATGATTAAAAATCGAAACAAATAATTTTAGATATATTACCGGAAAACGTATAACATAAAGAAAACAGGCGAAGCGAGAAAAGACTTAACCAAGATTAACCAGGATCGCTTTATATGAGACCTCATGGAATATGGAGGGGAAGCATTGACTGAGATATAAGGGCGCTTGCTTTCCACATCGTTTGAAGGAACTGAATATTCTAATTCAGTTGGCTACCAGAGACAAACAGAGTATTTCAAGAATCGTAGGCTGATCAATCTGTTGCTAATCATTGCAAAATCTTCACGAAGATACCGAATAATCGATTTCAAGAAAAAAGCTATTTTCAACTGTCAAAAGAGTATGCATAATTCAGAAGCTAATTTGGTAGACAGGTCATCTTCAAGTGATATAACAGGTAATCCAGAGAGGCAATGAACCTCAGCTTCCTCTGTCAGGAATTCGTCGATTTCGAGAAAGCATTCGACCCAATCCGCATCCAATCCGTATTGGCCTTCTTGAGAAAGCACAGAATCGAGGAAAGACGCAGACACCTAAACATTGCGATATATTAGAATACCGCTGCAAGTGTGAAGCTTCACGTAGCAGAAGCAAGTTCAATATTTATAAGAGCTTTCAACGTGATGACGCAAAATCACGGAAGTTAATCGCGGCCGCTGTGGAAAGACGTTTTCAGTGAAACTCGAGACCGAAAGTCCATAGACATCAGTTTAACCACATCTTATTTGTGAACGATATTCCAATCTTGACAAGGTCACCAGAAAATCTTTAAAAAAGAATGCAAGAAATGAACGGCGTCAGCATATCAACGGGACTGAAAATGAACCTGAGAAAAACTCAGGCCATAGTCATACTTAACGAACGTTGATCATCGCTGAACCATCAAGACATTATATTTGGTTCCAGGAGGACGGTTTGTAGAAAGACCTCCAGATCGACGACAAGGAGGGTTAAAGAGGTTCGTTGTATGAAGATTCATCGAAATCGCAGAAAACAGTTGACAATGTTGGAGAGGCCTTCATCCAGCAGTGGATCGAAACTGGCTGAAGAAAATGATTGGCTAGAATAAATCAAAAGGAAATATGACGGGGCCAAAACAATTATGTCTTTTGGCACTCCGAAAAATTAAGCAATCAAGATTTAGTTTTTCCTGATAATTCGAGCTAAGTGACAGTGCAGTTCATTGCAGGGTATAAGTCAACGCATTCCGATTTTCCGCACTGGGAAAATGTTAATAATCATGTGGACAAGACACCGATCGATTGACTACTGCATAATCAGCTCTGAGAGGAAAATGGCGATAATTCCTTTGCAAACTTTTAGACGTTGCCTTAGAGCCTCGAATTTGCCAGAGAAGAGACCCGTGAAGATGACTGTTATAGGCAATGAATCACTTGAGGCGGAAATCTACGACAGGATGTCAGAAATTGATCGGGCTATTACTGTGATTATCGATGAGTTGTGTGAAGAAAATGAAAATTGCAGATAAACCACCATTGAACCTGTAGGTAGTCCTATCGTATGAAAGGTAGGTGAAGAACATAGAATGATCCGCAAGTCAGATAGTTCATTATCATAAGTGAGCTACGACATTTTATAAAAGGACTGATGAACAGTCTTGACTCTACGCAAGCCAACGAGCAAGCAAACAATCACAGATAGATAGATATTCATATGGCATTGCCAATGAAACAGGCAACCGAATGTCAACTACTCCTCTGTTTAGGATTCATCAATTTCGCGAAATTTATCGATCTGATCAAAACGTGATCTCAGCTGCTCCAGGGAGCCAGAGAATTAAAGAAACCTATAGCAAGTCGATCGCAACTTGCACACGAATGCAATGGGTACTGTGAAGTTTCACGAGGGTAAAATTTAAAATCGAAAATAGCAATCGATGCAGGGGCGATGTATTATACCCCAAACTAAGTATATGTATTCGTAAGAGGTTCAGCTATATTTGTTAAGGCACTCATCTAAAAACTCATAAGCTGAAGCTTACTAGACTCGCTAAAATCAGAAACTCTATGCCGTGATATTCTAATTCTCAATGCATCTCCAGAAAAACGGGAGAGAAGAATCCAGCAATTAAACAATGCCAACGTCAAGCATGGCTGCAAAACGATTAGGAGAGACCCTCACGTTACCTTCAAGAGATATCATTCCACTGTTGGTGATAGCCTACTAAGTACTAACTACTAAAAGAAGTCAAAGATAGGGTTATCTGGCATAGCTGATTTCTGCAACAGTGAAATCAAAAACAGAACAACCACAGTATAGACCTTCTTCGGGCCTCTGAAAGCGTTCCCACCTGAGAAAATTCCCTTGTGCTTCAAACGGAGGTTTTCTATCAGTTCGTGCTTCCATTACTGTTGCATGAGTTATAAACGTAAATCCCGAGCACAATGACAATTGTGTATCACAGCAGAGTAAGATGTGTTAGGTTCAAAGGGCTACTTTACGGTTGGAGCAAAAGCATATTTACGATGCCTGCATGGGATTAAATCAATTGTAGTGGGAAGAGCATGGCTCAAGAAGAACAGAGCATCATTAGACCAAAACAATTCGGTAAGCGGCATGTTGAA